AAAATCACAAATGCTCTCAGAAAAATTATACTTAAGCAGTCGGATAAAACGTTATAGCAGTGAGCTTTAGAGGTGCTGGTCGGAGGATATTGTTAACTCTGGACAAAGCTAGACCGATATTAGCATATTGCAGGTATATCGGTATCTGTATATATGTATATGCTGTATCAAGATTGTTTCTTGTGTGTGTTAAAAAAGTGTTTTTAAAAAATATACTATGAGCCGTTAGCAGATCTTGTAAAGCGTATAGTTTTTTCCCATTATTTGTCATTTTATTTATATATATGCTTAAGTATTTGTTTAAATGTATTTGTTTTGTATTTATTATCAGTTATTCCTTTATGTAGCACTGGTAATAGTAATAAGGGGAAAGGGGAGAGTGCACTGGATGCCTTACCATTCTAGTTGAGTCTTAAACCACTAGATGGTGTGCTTGTCTCTTCACACTTACAGTACACAACATGCACCAGATGGATTGAGTGGAGACAAGCCAGAGAAATTACACACGTATTGTCTACATGTCAGCATATCAAACCATTATCTCACCAGGTTTTGGATGGTTTTTGCGTAAGACAGACTCAAATAATGCACTGCAATAAAACTATGAATACAGAGCATATGGAGCAGCTGAGCAGCTCCTTGTGACAAGTAAATAGTCTTGCACTGTCTGAAACTCCTTTTCAACAGAGAGCTCATCCAGACTGCAAATGCACCCAGGGAGAGAAAAGAAATAAAACCCAATCCTCCGAATCTTTATCCAGGCACTGGCTCATTCATATTTGAGAGTCTGGATGTCAGCCATGCTAACAAAAAGCTGTTGAAAGGCAGTATAAAAACTGAACAAGGGTGCGTATGTTCAGGTTCAAGGGTTCATAATTGCCAGACGGAGGCTATAGAAACCCTTCAACTGCAAAGTTTACAGAGTTGCTTTTAGTAATGTTGGATATTTCAGTGCATTAATGTGGCAGTCAGGCGTGCTCTTGTGTCTCTTCCTGCCATGTCACTTTGTCAAATATTTATTTATTAATTAACATAGAGCTTGGTATTGTTTATCTCTCTGTCTTCCGCTTCGATTTATCTTTCAAATCAAATCATCAAGGATCATATAAAGCAGTCGGTATTAAGCTATTGTGCTTGATGTTAACATTATTTCAAGACTGGTTCTTTATGAGCCTGGCCTTATTTTTAAGCATCGAAGGAAAATAATAACTGAAAAGGTCTTACATACTGCCAGCATTCCTACACACCAGTGCCTTTAATGTTCAACAAAAATATTCTTCTTGCATCTGAGAATATAAAACTTTATATTATCGACTCTTAGTGAGCTTCACTGCTTCTCAAGGGCAAAATAAGAGCAGACTTTCCACTGTGCTGTTGTGTTCCTTTTATTTTTTTTCCTCCTTCTCCTCTACAGCAGATGGTAAAGAGAAAATCACTTTCTGCTGGGGGCAGGATGCATCAGGGTCAGGGTTTAAGCTTTGAGGTCCACTCTGAACCTGGCTGATTTGACAGGACTATTTTGCATACGCTGAGTCTAATCAAATATATGCAGAAGAAGAAGGCGGGATTTGCAAAGCAGCTTGATACAAAGATACTGATTAGATAAGGGATTTTACAGAACAGCAGGCAGGAGCCACATAGTCCGGTCTGATCGCAGACATACAGCAACATGCAGAAACAAATAAAGATTCACAGAAATATTTTTAATCTGTGGAAAAATGGAGTGGAAAAAGGGGGGAAGAGATGAAGGTGTTAATATCGACATTCCAGAGGACCTGATTCTGCTGAAACTACACAGTTTATTACTGTGTGATGAGAGGCAATCAGCAGAAAAAGGCAAAAATAATTGACTTACAATTTAAGTAATAAATCTGCGTAGGAGAACTTGATGATCTCCTCGTCTTGTTTACCTGTTCATGCTTTGATTGAATTGATCTTCAAGGACAATGACAAATGATTGTGCTCGAAAATGAAATGACTAAGCCTTACAGAACGAAAGTCAATACTGGAAAATAACGAGGCACTGAAATGTTCGAGTTATATCAACAGCAGCAAAAGAAGGGCTGCTTGAGAAAAAGAACATGTTCCCTGCACAATTATACTGTAGCTAAAAACAAATGCAGCCACTGACATCATGCTGGCACGATGATGTGCCTTATTTAAATGCCTCATATGCTCATATTCTTCTGAGCGCACCAAACCATGAATCATTACCAGCTTATGCAGATGAACATGCTGGTTTATAGGTCTTATGTGATCCTTTTACAATTAGGGACTTAGAAGAATGCTGCATACATGACTGGAGCAGCCCATTGAACAAACAGTGTTACATACTATCTTTAAAACAATCAATGCAACATGAATAATTAAAAAAAAGCTGTTCATATGAAAGGTTTCCATTACAGTAGGACAAAGTTCAATTTGCAGGAAAACAGACAAATTACTTGGAGGCCATTTGAGCCATGATATAAGCCACCTACACCTACAAGGAGGGCCTGTTTAGAAATCCTTTTCTAACATATCTCAAATGTACATGTGTGGGTGTATATATTTCTTACATGTTCCAGCCAAGCTGATGACTAGCCTTGGGACAAGATTGTGTGCAATGCCACAACGCCAAAGATGGTGATAGCTTGCTCATTTCAACACAAATGCATCCAAATGTGTTTTCTTATCCTTAATCCTATTCCTAAACAGGAGGAATACAGTAAACTCTCAGACTGAAGCCTCACACCTTACATTCCCCTTCAATTTATTACAACCATCTTCCCGTGGACTCTGCTCCCATCAGGCCACCTTTTAAGAAGTGAACCCCATCCAGCGAGCCTGAATCCACAGGAAATCCTATGTGCCTCTGCAGAGTGAGTGAGTGAGTGAGAGAGTGAGTGAGTGGGAGTCAGTCAAAGCCCCAAGCACTTATAGGGAGGGGGTGGAGGGTTTGGGGAAGCAGTGTGGAGGTGGCTGCTGGGAGGCAAAGCTAATTCACTGTGACAGAAATCAGAGCTGTCAGGACCACCATGACCAAGCAGCATGGACAGCATATATCCAGTCAAAACCGCAGCCAAGGGGAAGGAGGGATGTCGGGGGCTCAGAGAGAAAAGAGGGGATGCACTGATTAAGGCACTTAAGAGAGAAAGAGTCTGTGTCAATGTGTGTGGGTGTGCGGGGCAGGGGTGCAGGCAAGATCTAGTCAGTCAAAACCATTAAAATAGAAACGACAAGGTAAGGAGGCGACACAGGTAAGAGGGGACCTTCACAGTCAGGAGGACCTTCAACACAGACGCTGGCAAAATACACGGGGAGATGAAGAGGGACGGATAGGATTTGCCATCTTCAAGGACTCACAAAAACAGGTGCATTTACAGCGCATAAGTAAGACGACATACACAGTATAAATACATACATACATACAGTTATAAACACAAAAAAGAAAAAAAGTACAGTAGATTATTGGTGAAAGGTTACCGGATAACACATTTAATATTCACGAGGAAAGGTTCTAGTAATCTGATAGTAAGCAAAACATTAAATGTTTATTAGAATATAATATTAATAGAATATTGAGGGAACACTGATATTGTTAAGAGAGAGAAAGAGTGGGAAGGGCAGCCACCAGCATCATTACTTAATGATGAGAGAGGGAGACACAAGGCTGGTCTCTAAATGACACAAAGGAGGAGGAGGGGATTGTGGGAGATTAAGTGAGCTCTATGCTGTTTGCTGTACACTGCAAAGCACTGCAGGATGTTTGTTGAGCGGCACTCTCATTTGGGACGAGGAGAAAGACAGTAGGGGGACCTTAAACTTGGCAGAGAGGAAAGGCGGAACGCATTGGTCCTCGAACGCCTCGGGAGGAGGATCTGAGAAGAAGATAAGGATTAGACAGCAATGTTGTGGGGATTCATTGATGGGACACAACTTTGAAGAGCAAAAAGCACAGGGAAGTTGGACTTCACTAAGCAGTTTAGTCTGGATTTGAGTTTTTTTTTTTCTTTTTTAGAAGGGAGAATGGGATTAACTAAGTGAGCAAAATTGCACGGTAGTCGGAAAGTGGTATGAACTTTTCCCCTTTTCTGCCTTCAAATTCATCATGAAATACAAGTCAGCAGCGGTAAATCAGTTCGAACTGATCTCTTATAATGTTCAACTTCATGTCACCTGATACTAACTGCGAAGAAACATCTTCTTAAGGTGAAGTATCTCCCTTTGTGCACATGACATTTAAACACTAAGCTCTCGTAATATGTTTATGGGTTTTCCTACGTAGTGGACAATGATTTGGAGTTAGTCCATTAGTTGATTGACAGGAAGTTAATCTGCAACTACTTAAATCAACAAATAAATCATGTTTTAAAGAAAAAAATACCCAAATGTTCTGCTTCCAGCTTCTCACAAATGGATATTGTCTGTTTGTTCTCCTCTTCTATAACAGTGAAGTGAGTATCTTTAGGTTCAGGACTGTTTATCAGACAAAACAAAATATTACGAGATGCCACCTTGGTCTTTGTGAAAAATAGAGATGTTGATCACTGTTTCCCAAAGCCCAAGGTGACATCCTAAAATGTCTTGTTTTGTCCACAACCCAAAGATATCAGTTTACTGTCATAGAGGACTTAGAGGAAACCAGACAATATTCACATTTGAGAAGCTGAAATGAGAGAATTTGGACATTGTTTTTTAAAAAATGACTCAAAACGATTAATTGATGAAAAATAGTTTGCAAGTAATATGATAGTTGGCAACTAATCAATGAATCTACTAATCGTTGCAGCTCTGGTTGCATGTCTACGTTGATTTGAAGCACAGAAACATTTCTAAATAGTCTGAGGTTATTGTGAGATTTTTGCGGGGGCAAAAAGGATTTGTGGCTACTACATTTTTCAGGTGGGTCAAAAAAGAATAGCTGTTTAATATATCATGCTGTTTCTCATTTGATTCTTATCCGACTAGGAAGAGCCAGAGGGATTAAAAAACCTTGAAGGATACGACTTTCAGAAAACATGACCTGTGGACTGTATCCCGGCCCTCTCCTGGTGCTGCTCTGTCTCCTCCACAGCTCGAAGGAGACCTGTCCGTCCATGTGCCTCTGTGTATCTGACACAGTGAGCTGTAGCTCCAGTGGTCTGACCAAGCTACCTCTGTCCCTGCCCGCCTTCTTGGTCACCCTTGACCTCAGCCACAACCAACTTTCCTGGCTGAACCCGGGCAGCTTCAAAAGGATGCCCAGACTGGAAAACCTCCGAATGGCCCAAAACCAGCTCAGCTCTCTCGGCCATGGGGTGTTTCACAACGCCTCTGGCCTCAGGCTTCTTGACTTGTCCTCCAACAAGCTGCAAGTGGTGGAGCAGCACTACTTTCAGGGGCTTTGGAGGCTGGAGGAGCTCCTTCTCTTCAATAATAAGATTGCACAGGTAGAGGCCGGCACACTGAGCGGTCTGAGCAGTTTAAAAAAGGCCTACTTCAGCCTCAACCAGATCACACACTTCCCGTTCTTCTCCATCCAAGACCACACTCATCCTTTCCTCATCATGCTGGACCTCTCGTCCAACCGTATGAGTCGTCTGCCATGGGAGGATGTGAAAGCTTTGCCAAGGTTGGTGCAGCGGGGGCTGTACCTCCATAACAACTCTCTAATCTGTGACTGCTCCATGTACAGTGTGTTCTGGCACTGGGATCTGAGGGGTTATGACTCACTGAAGGACTTCACGGATGAGCACACTTGCAGCATCTATGGGGACCCACGAGCGTCCATCCGGTTCCTACGACACAACCGTTTCTTCCACAATTGCACTGTGGAAAAAGCAGTCTCAGAGCCAGTGACTGTGCTCCTCTCCAACGTGTTGGTTTCAGAGGGAGGAAGAGTACGTCTAGACTGCCAAACGTCCCTGAATAGCACAGAACTCTCATTTACATGGCTCTCCCCCAGCAAGGGGTACATCACCCAGACCAGCATAAATGACACGCTAATTAGCCAGTTTGCTAATGGTACCTTGGAGATCCAAGCAGCCAAGGTCAATGACTCAGGTCTGTACGTGTGCACCGCTTTGGATATTAAACAGGCACTGAATGCAACCCGTGAGGTGAATGTGACGGTGCTGCTGCCAGCAGCAGAGTCATTCAACACCGGCTACACAACGTTGCTGGGCTGTGTGGTGACTTTGGTCTTCATCCTCATTTACCTCTACCTGACTCCATGTCGCTGCAGCTGCTGCAAACAGCCCAAACCTCCTGTTATCCCCATTGCGACCTACGACCCCAGCACCCTAATTTCCGTTTTCTCCCCTTCAACCAGAGAAAGTAAACTCCAAACTAACAAGCATGTAGCATTCATGGAGCCAATGTTAAGTGAAGATGGAACAGAATGGACACCAGAAAGTTGATGCTGAACATGTTTTTTTCCTCTCTCTCTCTCTCTTCTCTGCAAACAAAAGACCTCTGGACAAAGCAAAACTCCTTACTCAGGAATTAGCCATGAGATACAATCAGATGTGAGTGTTAACACTGTAAAAGGAAAAAAGAACATCATGTCTCTCTCCCGACTGCCAGCTGCAGTTAAAAACTGTCTGTCTTCTCTGTCATCTGGCCCAGTAGTCGAAATGAAAGTTTCAACTTTGGTTTATTACCCTCTGTGTATTGACATTGGTAAATCACAGTAGAGCCATTATCAGCCCTAAAAATCACCTAATAACTTCTCTACGTACGGTACCAGGGGGGAATATTTCTCTCGGGATCAGAGAAGGAATCTGGCTCACTTTTCAAAGAAAGTGGTTAACAAGGATTAAAAGCCCTGGAAAAACGCTGCAAGTTTACGATTTTAACGGACTGCAGGAAGTAAGCTCAGCCTGTGTATCGTAGTTGAGTGGAGGTGCTCCATATTTAGCGTTGTAGAGACAGGCCTAGCGCCTGCACTGCACCCGCTGAAGATAACTTTAAATATACAGCCCATATCTCTTATAATATGTAGCTTAAACATGGAGCAACCTGAAACTCTATCCAACTTCTGAAAACTTGTGTTCCCTGTGTTCCCAATAAAAGATTTGGTCCCTTTAAATCAGTTGCCTGCTCTGCTGATATAGCTTTGGTTTAGAAGGCACTTTTAGCAAATACATTGCTATCATATACAAAAAGAGGAATTAAGATACAGCAAGGAAAGCAATGAATGTTTTTGTGCAGACACAATAGCTTTCAGCAAACATTTACACACTCTAGCAGAAAACAGAGGTGCATTCTGCAGTGATCCATCATACATATACATATCTCATATAAACCTGTTGCATTAATCTGGCAGCGAAAAACAATGACTCCCTATCTGCGCTCTGCTTATCTGGCAAATAGTGAAGTACAGAAATCAGGAGTGTCAACAAACCAAAAACAAACAGCAATTGGACTGCTCTTCAAAGACAGCATCTCTTTGATCAAACACAGCAGAGCACTTTGAACACTGCGGAACAAACACAACCACAAAATTCGAACTGAAGTGACAAATACTTCAAGCAGCACTGACGTAAACCCAGAGGAGGGCATTACTTTGTATAGCTTTGTTTGTTGTTGTGTTTTTTTCAATTCAGTGTAACATGCTTCCAATGACAGAATTACACACTGTAACACCAGGGATGAAAGAAAATGTTGCACAAGGACTTGCACATGCACTGCCATGACAGGGCATAAGTGTGTGGGATGGGAACATTAAGTCGATGACATGAAAGACCAAAGAGAGCGTATGGGTGGTTGAGGATGAAGGGATATTTAAAACCCAATGAGACCAACAGTAGCCTCAAAAGAAACAAATCAATTTCTCCAGGCATCCATTATGTTTTGAGATTGTAGTTTAATCTTAATGCAAACACTGGGTCAGACTAGGGATTGCATCGAGATTGAATAGGATTAGATGTAATCCTTCATATAATGTCAAAGAGAAGTTGTCAGTAACCACTCCATCTCACAAAAGGAGAGCATATCGTTAGAGGAGGGTCTTTGATTATTCCTAAATCCTTAATTAAAACTTGACTCCTTTCAAGCCCGAGGGGACTAATATTGTTGTGCAACTTGAATGTAAATTCACAGAGAAAAAAGGTGGGAATCTGAAATCAAATGGGTAGCCGTGCATGAAACTGGGACACACCAGCTCTTTGGCAGCGCCGAGTTTCATCACCATTAAACTCTCAGGGATTAAGCAAAAATCCGTGAGACTGGGAGAGCACTGTATTGTGATGCACCACTCTGTTTAATCACACTGCTACTGGCTTGTTACATTTGGCTTTTAAAAGTTTAACAGTTCAAAATGTTTTCACAATGGTAAGCAACATTCAAATTCCTCACCGAGGATTACGCAACATACCGCTACGCGCCCGTGTGATGTAACATCTTGTATGAGAGCGTGTCGTGACCCGTTGTTTTTTCAAACCGGAGACATTACATGGTGTCATGAGTTGAGGTTAGGTTTTAGGAGATTACCACGAGGATAAAAAACAGGTGCTTTGTCAATTTCCGTGTTTTTTAATCCCTCTAATCTGGTTCCGCTCTCTGACACAGCGCACACAGCTGAGTTGGGATTTATTGTTTCTGATATGATTAGCAGACAGGTTAAAACATAGAGGACATAATGTGAGCATTTCATTAAGGGCTTTCTATTTCACAGAGGGTCCACAGGTGACCCTGGTTATGTAAGCATACTGCTGATTTAGGGAATCAACCTCAGTGTAGGCAGTGTGTCAGAGTTAAAATGAGTGAAGTTAGTATCCTGATGCCATTTGTTATCCAGCTTTTTATTTTAACCTTATGACAGCAAGTACTTTACCGATAATGGGAGGCCTCAGCAGTGCATTTAGAAAAAAAAAAAACCGAGGTATGAAAAGCACACCAAAAATAATAATTTTCTCTCTATCAAATTGTCACACATATTCCTGCTCATTTGGAACATGAGGGGGTAATAATAAACATGCAGATTTAGTTCGCTGGAACACATCAGCACATCCCTCTTTCATTTGTTCTAACATTTACACATTAATAGATTTCAAATAACATCACAAATTCCAGGCTACGCAGAAAGCTGAGAGTGTGTCTGCAAATTATTCTGAATCGCTCTAACAAATTACCCAGATGTAAAGGGAGGACCCCTTGATGCTTTAGAAGATGTCCTTCTCCAAAGCAAAACACTCCACCAGGCTTCAATTAAAACACGCACTTCCCTTTTCCAGATTAATTGTTTTCCCTAGTTTGCTGGGCTCCGAGGGATTCAAAATCATCTTATTCAAGAATCTAATTACTGTGAAAGGGGAGTTTCACTCGGAATAGCACACACTGAATTGCTTTTACTAGTGGAGGGCTGCCTTGACTGTCAACAGGGGCTATTACTGAACTGTCAAAACAGTCATCAGGCTGGAGTGGAGGCATCCAGCTGTGGCAGATACATACACATTTTTCAGACGCTGCAACACCCACGGACACAAGCTCGGTGGAGCCCTGGGGTCCCCAATTCGACAAAAAACCCTTATTTCATTCTAAATGGACACTTTACTTGGAATATATGCTCGAGAAACATACACACAGCGTTCGTTTCAGAGCAGTCCACCAACCGGCTACCCTATACTGTAGATCTTTTTTTAGGAGGTAGGCTGGTTGCTTCCCAAAAAAGACTACAATAAATGTTGCCTGCTGCACGCCAGACAACAAGCTGTTTATCATACCTCTGCACCGAATATGCACCGGCCATGTTCTGTCTTTTCAAAGCAGTATGAAGCAGCTGGACGACCGACATGTCAAGCAGGATCAGATCACTGCGGGGCAAATTGAACATGAATGCCTCATTAATCAAATGTATAGATTTATAACATTTCATTCGGGGCTGCAGTGAACGATTATTTTCGTTACTGATTAAGCTGTTGATTTATTGATTGTTTGTTCCATAAAAGGGCCAGAAAACCGTAAAAAATGTTCATTTACTGTTTCCCAAAGCTCAGGGCGATGTCCTGAAATGTCTTGTTTTGCCCACAAACTAAAAAGATTCCCAGTTTACTGTCACACAGGACTAAAGAAACACATTTGAGCTGAAACCAGAGAATTTATACTGTTTTTCTTTTAAAAAATGACCAATATTTAGCAATTCATTTAATAGTCGATAACTAATTGATAAATCGACTCATCGTTGCAACTCTATTAACATATTTCATTGCAAACAAACAAGAGCATATGCAGTCTCACACCAGGACCAAAGCCATTCGCCGTGTTAGCAGCATTACCCTGGCTCACTGTCTCTCTGGGGCTGTTATGTGCTTCAGTGAGTAGAATTTAGCTGGATATTATAAGATTTGACAAGCACAGTCACCGAAAGTATTTTAAGTTTTATATTGTTGCTCATGACTACTTTTCTACAACATCCTCTTGTCTTTTTATTCTTCCTCTGAGTTCAGCTCGTGTCATTTCTCATACCAGCTTTATTGTATCGTGTTGTAATGGCACTACCCTTGTTATTATCTGTCACACAACAACGACAACAATGAACTTGAACTCGGATGAGATATTTATTATTGCCACGGAAGATAGACCTTTACTGCCAGAGGGAGTACAGGTACCGTATCCTATCTATAATGTATTATAGTGTCAGTGATACTCATTAATGTACTTTATGGTATTTTATTTATTTTATTTTTTGCCATAGTAGCAGCATGGATCTAGGGAGACAACATCTGTTAGTCGAGACTGTCCAGAATGTAATATCTCAAAAACTACCGGATGGATGGCTGAGACATTCACAGTTCCCAGAGGATAAAATGTAATCCTCTAACACCGCCAGCAGGTTGCCATGACTTTTTAAAAAAAAACACCCCGACTGAATGCAATGGCACACAATTTGGTAAAAGCATTTATTGTTCTTAGGCAATGAATCCTTTTGACTTTGTTTATCCCCGTGGCATTTTCTCTATCGCCACCATGAGGTTCACATTTGTGGTTTTGGGTGAAATGTCTCATCAACTGTTGATGTTTCCATCAGGATGTATCGTAATAACTTTGGAAATTGATTCACTTTTCCTCATTCACCACCATCAGGTCAAAATTACAATGTGTCCAACACTGTAGTTAACCAAATACCTTCTAAACTAGTGACATTACCATAATTCAGAAAGTAAAAGTGCAGAAGTATTATCAGCAAAATGCACTTAGTATCCGTACTGGTACTGGTTCTGCAGAAAAATGCCATAGGTAAGCATTAGCAGTGCATAAGCAGGGCTTTACTGTTGCCGTTAGTGGAGATATGTCTAGTTTTAACTACTTTACTTTTAGTCCAGTGGTTCCTAACAGAGAATCTGGTGTGATGTGAGATGATTAATGGGGCCCGTCAAAAAACAAAACATAACATTCTGCTACACAACTTTATGTTAACTTTTTGTACTTTCCTATAATCTGTTGCTTTTTTAAAAAAAATCACCTTTTTTGGACCCCACAAGCCAAAAGCAAGCATTTTATAAGCTCACTATGTTGTTTAATGTAGGTATGAATCTTAAACTAAAAAGTAACTACGTTAGTAACTACAGCTGTAAAATAAATGTAGTGGAGTTAAAATATAATATGACACCACAGAATGGAAACACTCAAGTTAAGTGCCTCAAAATTGGATTCAGTACTCGAGTAAATCTTACTTAGTTACTTTCCAGCCCTGCTTATAGTGAGGAGCCCGAGAATGATCACCCTACTCTGTGGTTCCCTGCAGCTCTAAGAGCATTATATCGCTTTCAGCTCAGTGTTTTGGTTTAAAGGCCTCAGCTTAACACAAATGTTTTGCTCCACTCACTGTTCTCAGCAGCCTTTAGCCCAGGCAGCTGTCTGCGGCATAACAAGCTCTGATGAACCCGCTGCATGCTACCTGTTCAGCGTGGCAAACAAAGTAACTTAAGCAACTAGCGTGAGGATAGTTACCTGGTTAACATAGAGGACTGTTCGGCATTAGCTGCTAAAGAGCTGATATTTCCCCCAGGAGCGGGTGGAGAACAAAACAGAGCCAAACAGAGAGTGAATATTGGACTTATATTCACCAGACACCAAAATGAATGTTGCTCCACATCTGCATGCTAACAGGTTAGCCTGATGTGTCAATGTTGTGTTGAAAGCTTGTTTCTGCTGCCCCCAAGTGCCCAAAAAAAGCAGTTCATACAGGTCAATTGCTGTTTTTTATTAGACGGACAGGTATGCACTTCTTAATTTTTGTTTGTTTAGGATCTCAAAGACACTTCACATCAAGTTAAAAGGGAAAAGAAAAAGGTAATAAAAATCACACACTAATATATATACATACACCTTTTACAAAACATACAAAACTTATTTTCATTATAGGCTGTACTTGTGTCTAATTCTATTACTCTCATTGTTTTTATTTCCCTTTAAAAGTCCAGTCAGTTATAAACAGTAATTAAATATATATATCAGTGTTCTTCCTCCTACATCATTAACACCTCAGAGGATCCCGAACACAACCCTCAAAACTGTAGTTATGGTGGGGTTTGCTGCTGTAAATGTAACAGTGTGTAGTAGAACAACATCCTGCTCATTGTTTGTGTGATGGATCTTAGCTGCAATGTATTTAATGTTTTTTTTTTCCTTGGCACAGTTTTTAAAGATACCATGGCATATCTATTGCACAAATGGTATGGGCTTCTGGAGATAAAGTGTTAACCTATTTACCACATTAAGAGGAAACGGCGCCCTCTGGTGTTTTTCTCCACCACATACTCCACTGACTTAGTGAAACAATACAATAAACCCAGACAGAGAAGACATCAACCCTCCTAATGATCCTTTTCGTGGTGTCAGAGTTGATGGGCCAATGGCAGTCAGATTGGAGTCTCAGAAGGATTTTAAGTGCTGTATTTCCTCAAGACTGTTCCCCAAACACAGCTTAACCAGCTGGTGAAAATAGATTTAAATTGAGTTCTACTGCAGTGTCTTCTGTTATTATCAAAATACCTTTTTCATTCATCATTTTACATGTTTAAATGTTTCAATATTACACACTTTGTCTACCGGTATTTGAAGGTTATATTCTCCACCTCCATTTATATATTTTGAGTGAAAGGACAGTAAAACACCTGTGGTTGATATTTTTAATAGTTTGCTTGACACCGTCATCAAACTGGTCACACAAACAAGATTTGAAAGGTTTTATTTTAATAGAATTTAACAACAACAATATGTAAAATAAAAAAAAAGAAAACCAACAGCAAAAGTGAAATTTCCTTCACTAGATTTTTTTTTTTTTCCTTAAAAAAATATCAGCCTTTCCCCTTGTTCACAAACCGTTTCAAAACCGGACAAACAGAAATAACATGATAAGTTCCGAGAAGCTGGAAGGCCATTAACATTTGTTGGCAAATATAAATATAGTGGTTTGAACAGGGTCTCAAATAGCTCACATGGAAAGAGTGTACATACAGTTTTATATGACAGTAGGACACTCGGCACTGCCTGTATCAATTTTTATTAATGTAGAAAACCAGGTTCCTTATTTACTGATTTAAATCATTGTGTTTGACAAGGAAATATATACATTCAGCCAGCTCTAACAGTCTCCAGAGTATGGCGTTTGTGTTGCCCCATTTGATCACACTGATTGTCTATTCGGGGGCATAATTGTGAGAGTACGAGTAGTCCGAGTAGTAATTCTGTGTCCCACCCCTGCCTGCTGGGTAACCCCAAGAGCAAAGTCCACCTCCAGTCCCGCCCCCCCGATCATGTCCTCGTCCTGGCCGAGGCCAAAGTCCTACTGGGGGTACTCCTCTCCCTCGGTAGCTCCCTAAAGAACCAGGACCCATACCACCGCGCATAGGCCCGTGGTCCATCTGTCCAGGGATGCCACCTATACTACCATAGCCCACACCACACACTTGATGTGGAGGCTTAGGTCTGACTACTGAGCCCCCCCTGGTGGCCACTGCGGGAAGGCCCACAGTAGGTCCAGGCTTGTCAGCGCAATTCACCTGAGTCCTGCCCCCCTGACTACCAGGGGTGCTACCTCCGAGGGTTTCCCCAGTGTTAGGGAGCCCACTTGGGTCCACTGGGCCACATGTGACCAAACCCTGGCTGATAACAGTCTCACAAGTACTGGTCCCTGCTGCCCCCCATACACCTTCCCCAGGTCCACTGCGTGTCCTATCGTGTTGCATCGGGGTCACACTAGTATTTTTAGGAATGCCAGCCATGTAACCTGGCTGGGCTAAGTCATTATGGTCTGTGTAGGGGATGGAGGTGGTGAGCGGAGAGTTCCCAGCAGCCCCTACTCCTCCAGTGTCCGAGCCATACGTGTGGCCCAGCATCATGAGGTGAGGTGGAGGAGGAGGTTTGACTTCCAAGGGGAGGGAGGCCAGTTTGGCTAGAGGTCCTGGTGTGGCCATGACAGGGGGGGTTGGGACTGTGGCAGAGGCTGAGCCTGGGGGGCGGTAATCCTGTTCCTGGGTGCCACTGCAAGGCGAGGCAGGATAGGCCGGGGAGGCCGCATAGCTAGAAGAGCCAGTGTAGGATGACCAGGAGGCTGAGGGACACAGGAAGCTCTGGTGGGGATTCACAGGAAAGCCTCCTGGCGATAAGCTGCCAATGTCTGAAGAGCCTATACCGATCTGGTTGGTGGCTTTGAACTGAGAGATGGCTGTTTTGAGAGCGCTGTAGTCAGACAGCGTTGGAGTTCTCTCGGGGGTGGACTGCTGCTCTGGGAGTGGAGGACGAAACTCCTCCATCTCTGGTGGAGGCGGCTGTGGAGGCTTCCTCTCCTCAACCTCCTGGTTCTGCTCTGAGGGATCCGATATGGTGGGTGGCTCACCGTCATCAGAGTCTAATGACATGTCCTCCTCTTCCACACACTCATCATTCACTACTAGGAGAGCAGGAGAGGGCAGAGACAGAGAAATGGAAAAGTGGAGAGAAAGATATTATCAAATAAATGTGTTAAGATGCATTAACAGCATCAAACTGCTGGGTAGTACAGACATCTTTAACTGGCGAGATAACTGTAAAGGGTATAAAGCAATTTAGCAAAGCAATTGCAGTACAACAAGACGACACGAAAGGGTTTTGGTGTCCTGTTGTTGACGCTACCCACCTGTAGAGGGCGGTGTTGGAAGCTCGTTCTGATTGATGGAGCCAATCAGACTGTGGAAACCGCTCATAACGTCATCAATGCTTCCTATCACAATCCCATTTCTGGAGTACTGTAGGAACATCTCAAATGGCCTCTCTGTAAAAACACATCACAAGATACAAAATTTGGTGAGCAATTTCTGCAGCTTTTCGTATGCATACGGAAAAATTAAGTTACACACTTTCTATAGATCGCAATGACAAAAAAGTAAAGGCTATAATAACAGAAATCATTTCAGTTTTGTCTGCTTAAACAAAAGAATACAATCGGTTGTTTGCAGTCAATATAATAGTAAATTATTCATATTATTCTAATAATGTATATAATTTATTCAACTAGAAATCATAAAGGAAACACTACAATAGCTCAACACTGACACATAAAGTCGTAGTTCTTTGCTTGTGTCAGAAGACTGATGAAGGGATGGATGAAGATACCTGTGAGGAAGATAAGGTGCCGCTGTTGCGTGTGCTGAGCTTGGAGCTTGATTAGGCATTCCAGATCTGGAGCCTGACGCGACTGGGTGTCACACTCGTGATAGGGAAGGAACTCCACTAGGTGCTTCTTCTGATAGGCTGTAAGAAGGTTCAGCAGCCCCATGGCGTTGGTGTTTAACCTTTAACAGCAAAAGTAGATCCAGACATTTATTTAAAGTTCAAGTCTGATTAAAGATGCTAAAGATCACTACTAGATTACTACCATTTTGGTTGAGCTCCTACTGAGATACTGACCTCCCCAGTTCTTTAAGCTTCTTCTGGGACTTGCAGTGCACCTTCCACTGCCAGGGGTGTTCCGGGGTGCTCTGCTCCTCCAAGAACTTCAGCAGCCCCTGCAAACGATCTGGACAACAGAAGCAACGCAAGCTCTGAAGTATCGTCCAACAGATATTTTCATAAACTTGCACAGCTCCCACAAAGAAAAGTAAAACTTACCCTGTGTGATAAGGTCAGGGTTGAGGACAAACTCATCAGACACCATGAAGCCTCCAGACACAAACAGCTCATTGTAAGTGTGGTTCTTGACGTCGTCGAGAGTGTCCACTCCAGCAAAGCTCACCGAAGGCAACTTCTTCAAAGACACCAGAGCCGGAATCTGCAGGGTGAAAAGATGAGACTTTCACAAATGGAGTTTTTCTATTTCTTTTTGTATTAAAACTTTTTTCATATAAGAAACAACTAAATATAATGTTTTCATGTAATATATACACAATGTGCAAATAATCCATTCATTAAAGTAAATTAACTTAAAAACAACAACACTGCAGATGTTTAAATATAATTATGATGCCATTATTGGCGTTTGATCACTGCTTGGTCCACTGGTGAAGAGTCATCCGAACTACATACTGGAGGTGAGACTGACATTGAGGAGGGTGACAGATGAAGAGGGTGTCAGGAGGTGATCAGATCGTACCTTGTGCACGTGTGCAGCGATGTCCTCATTCTGAATGATGATGAGGAGCTTATCTAAACTGCCGCTATTTTCTAGGAACGTCTGTGGGCTGCACTCGCTGTTGCCTAGACTCTTCAAGTACTCCTTTGTGACAGACAGGAGAGACGTAATTGTTAGAGACAAACAGATGAATGTGTCTTCCTCTCTTGCATGCACAAGTACTGACAGACAAGATACGGAAAGAGCTGAGCACTGAGACATGAAACACATAGTGACAAAGAGGAGCTAGTGTCGCCTTTCTAACAGTAGATCTGTGTTTTATCTTGTGTATGTCTGTGCAATGTACTACTGCAGAAAGCTGTGGAGGCTCTTTGGCTCCAATAAAAAAATAAAGGTGATCTAAAATACATCTACAGATAAAAATGTGAGGAAATGGATGTGAAACTGTGGAGAATTAGAAGTAATAATTAGGCCTGTATGATATGGTAAAAAAAGAAAATCATATTTATTTCTTATATATTTTGAAAGATATGATTCATGATCTCTTTCACTGAAAGAAAAAGCTATTCAATTCATGATGATGTGACAGTTGTTGGGGTCTCTACCCAATGTTTTCTTACAAGTAGAGAACAAGATTTGTAGGCCAGGGCATCTCTGCAGCACTACAGTACTTCTTTAGAGTGAAGTCACATATTGTCCCTCAACAGCAGCTTCTGTGATTTGGATGCAGCACTTGGTCATATTGCGATTTTGATAACATTTCAATTAATTGTGCAGCCCTAGTAATAATAACTTTGATTCACAGAACATCATTAGACAGCAGACAGGGTTTGGGGCTTTTGAGTAGATAAAACAAGCATGTTGGAGTTATCACCCAGGTCTTCTGCCATTTTACTGACTGATGATTAATTGTTTAAAAAACAAAAAATGAGACAGAGAACCCAAAAAACAGACAAAAAAGGTGGGGTAAGCAATTTTAGGTAAAGCGATTCTAGTCCAATGCACTTTTTGTCAAATTCAGCAAATATTTTCTCATAGTGCACTAGCTTTCAGCTCGGTGTGTGCCTTGACAAAAAAAAATGGTGTTTGTACACAGCCCTGGCTCTGTAAAAGGGGGGAAAAAATGGGCTGAGACACACAACACTAACTTGTTCATTCAGCCAGGATTTGTGCGTCGGGTAATGTTAAATTACTTGCCCATGGCCGGCATACTTTCTACGTTGCCAAGATATGCTGCTGTTGTGATGTTAGCTATAGTAGCAGGACAGTTGTGAGTACTGCTGTCTGAAGCTGGTGTGCTTGCTCTGGAAAACCGTCCACTCTGCATGTTAGCTTCACAGCAGCAACAGTTTGCCAACCCACAACATACCATAGCTAACATTAGTTACATTACTTGCGGCGTTGTTATGTGCGCTATATCACATTTGTCAAGATATTGGATTTCTCTAGAATTGCTTACCCCACCTTTAATTGATAATATGAATAACTGTTGCTGCTCTACTTTCAAGACCACACTGTAACCTTGTGTTGTACCTTGATCTCCTTGCAGACAGTGCTCTCCTCCCCCTCATCCCCAGAGTAGATGTAGAATTTGACTGTATTCTTTGTGACGTCCTTAAAGATCTCCACCAGGCTGCTGAAAACCTCAGGCTTCAGCTGACCAATGAGGCTGCCAGCCAGCAGGCCAGACCCGCTCCCGGAAGCATGGCCTGGGTTTTTTGAGTTGAGTTCTGGAGAGTCTGGTGTGACTTGAGAGGGAGAATAAATCTCTCCCCCCAGCTCTGCTGATGGGCCGTCTGTTTTAGCCTTAGTGGACGCCTTCTCCTTGACAGCGACCACTTTACCACTCTGAGAAGAGGTGGTGCTCTTCGACAGGGCGGGCTCTGCTTTACTTTTGGAAGTCTGGACAGGGGTGGGGGGTGGTGTTGTAAGATTAGATGTTGTCACTGGGGGAGGTGGTGAAGTGACCTTGGAGGGAGCAGGTGGGGATGGGATCAACGTGTCCATCTTCTCACACAGTGCTCTGACATGCCCCTGAACAGGGACAGGGGAGACAAAGGGTACAACAAAGTCTGAGAAGCAGCTGTTGGGCAGCCAGCAGTGGCGTAGAGGCAACCGCGGGGGTTGCTGCGACGTATAGCAGATGTGGTGAGTCTGCATGATATTTTTAATGTCAGAGGTAAGACTGTGAACTTCCTGGTTGAGTATGGTGTCCAGGCTGATCGAGGGCCTGAAGGAAACTTCCTCAACGACTGGTAACGTGGATGGTGCAGCTGCCTTTTTTGCTTCCGTGGCTGCAGATGTCTTCGGCTCTGGGAAGCTGTCTACAACCGTCACAGCCTCCGGCTCAGGCTCCAGCTCTGGCTCGGGCTCTGGCTCGGGAAAAGGCTGGGCTTTGTCTGGAGGAAAACAGGCAGGACACTTGTCACAGTGATGCTCAGATCTGCCTACAATATACAAGATAAGCCTACAAGGGAGAGGTCTGTGTGTACTGAGTGCTTTGAGGTACCTTCATTCACGGGGTTAACCCAACTCGTGTTGTCTGAGGTGTGAGCTTGCTCTGGCGGGGAGCCGGCGCTGAGTGGACTACCAGGGCTACAGTCCATGTCCTCCTTAACACAGAAAACACCAGAGGTTAATTTTAGGTCTACAAACACATTCAATGCATGGTAAAAAAAAATATATAAAAAAAACAACAACCCTAGAATCAACTGTTTACATCTCACCTCTGTGTAGTTTGTTTGTGACACTGGCTCAGTTTGTTTCCTAAGATCTGGGTCAATGAAGGCCGGTTCGGCCCTTCCTGAACCGGTCGACGGTTCACCGTGGTTTGACTGCACAGACATTGAACCCTGAGCCACGGCTTTGTTAAGAGTAGCCAGGAGGATCTTGAGAAGGCGTTGAGTCTCGTTGACTGCTGAGGCGTTGGTGTTACCATGAGCCCTCAGGTCAGTGTCATAGATGCCCATGCTTTCCATCACTGCTGTCAGATTGTCGCTCTGTCCACCCTCATCTCCGATCTCATCTGCTTGGGCTCCTAGCAGGATACATGCAATTAATTAGAGGCATTTGCTAAATCTGGTATATTAGTGTACAAGAACATCCTGAACCCTCAACAACTGTAATAGCAATTGTTGCACTTGCACACAGGAAAATGTACTGCTGTCTGAAATAGCAACAAAAACGCACGCATCCTGACATGAATGGGTTAAAAAATAAAAATGTAAACAATGATAAAGTAACTTAATTTTGATGTAAGCAAATACAGTAGCTGTATGTTAATATAGCGCTAACGGGCAGCAATGTTTTCTTACTTGCAGTGCAATGAACAATATAATGTAATATAATATAACTTTGGAAGCTGACAAAACCAAGCTAAATCAAGCTACACCGACAGCTGCAGCCATCCTCACCTCTACTGGGTTCCCCATTACTCAGCGGGTCTGTGCGTTGGTGTTTATTCATGCCCCCCCTTTCATCTCCCTCAAACTTTCTCTTCAGACTGTTGACGTCCCAAGTCCCGTCCTCGCCCCGTTCCTTCCCAGGATCCTTCACTAGTGCTTTCTTATGGAGCTGGATTAGCTTAAGCAACTGCTTCATCTTGTCTTTATCATACTCGTTCTGGGACAGCCGCAACCTCTGAGGGGGCTGAGGTTGGGACTCAATGTGGGACTTGTGCTGCAACTGGGCCCCGTTAGAATGGGCCAACCCTGACCTCCGTCTGCTGCTGTCAGGGGTTGGCTTCTCCGGTGCTGGCCTTTCTGGAGGCGGCCTCTCCTGCGGCAGCCTTTCTGCTGGTCTCTCTGCCCTGTCTGAGCCCCTGTCCGAGCCACCCCAGTCAGAAACGGGGCTGTATTCCACTGGTGCCGGTGTGGGTATGGGTACAGGGTTCCGTATCCTTTCAATGATGTCCTTCGCCTTGTTGAGAGGTAAAATGTAGTTGGCAGGGTTGTGGACGTAAGAACGCAGCACGGACTCCATGTTAAATTTGGGTCTGGGCACTTGAAGCGGGTTGGTCTTATCGTCCACATTATGTTTGTAATCGGGCAGAATGAACGGCCGCACCGTGCCCGAATCCATACGAGTTAGGTATTCGGTGGCCTGGCGCTCCGCCCCAGAGCTCACGTCCTTGCCTGGGTTGAGGCGCAACTTGAACAAGGCGTAGTGAAGAGCAGGGATGAAGGGCTCCATGGAGAACAGCATAGCAGGCTGGGGCTCCACTGTCAGCGGCTCTGGCTCGAACAGTCTTGATGCTACGAAGGAGGACATGTGTCATTTATAAGACTACAACAGTCTACAGTGACGGCAGTTTAAGAAAAGCCAAAACAGGTTACAGCATGGATGCCTCTGAACTCTATTTTTTCTAAAAAGGAGGAGCGTTCAGTAGCTAGATGTTAGACAGATCTGTTTCTCATATCCAAACATTCTCTTTCTGCTCATAAAACGGTCCAGTTGGGAGCTTCATGCAGATGCCGAAACAGGAGCCCAGTCAAAAAATAAAAAAGGGCTGATAGCCAGTGAATAATACTTACAATACTTGACAACCATCCTTGACTCCTGAAAGATGAATAATGCTTGCAGGTTCTTCTCCACCCGCCCCCGCCGCTCTAGAAAACAAACAGAATCATGTTTTTAAAGCTGAACCCTTGCAGAAAAGGAACAAGTAGGTGTTCAAGCTGACACAACAGAGAATTATGAGAGGAGAGTAAAAGCGTTTTGGCACCTTTGGACTCAACCATCTGAGCTGAGGAGAGCAGGAAGAGAAAGCCCCTGTCAAACAAGGACTTCACCAGCACCTGAATAAGGACAGTAGACACCACAGTCAGAACTCACCGGGGTGTTATCATTATCAGATAACGTGAGCGATCTTAATACCAGTCTGTTGCTGGAGGGGTTTGTACTTGTGTACATTGTGTTTGTTTATGGTTACTGAAAAAACAAAATAAGAATAGCATGACAGATGTTTTCTCTCCACCTTTTTCTTGTGGAACATGAAATGATGCATAAATGCAACATCATGTGACAAACTTTACTTTCATTCTTGTCCTTTCTCCGATTTTGAAACAAGAGGAATTTTTGTATGAACTAAACACGCAGAATATTTGAATTCAATTCAGCACTAAGACAGGTGAACTGATTCTGTATCTCTTGGGGGATTTTCAAGCATGAGAACCTGGTAGGTAACAGCTAGAGGGTGACTCACCATCCTGTCCCTCTCCAGTTTGTTGACCAGCGCTGCCAAGCTGCCGCAGGTTGGTTTGCCTTTTCCATCCACCACCTCAAACAGGCTGCAGGACATCCCACACTTCATCACTGCGGACAAAGAAAAGAAAGTTGGAATACAAAGCAAAGCCATAACTTAACTATGTAGTTAATGTATGCTCAGTTTTATCTGAAAAAACACTTTGTCTATAATGGATGGATTTAGTAAGATAACTGCTTTTGTAATGCACAATGTAGTATATGTATTTCGAATAGCTATAGAAATTGAAATGCATTAGTGCCTATAGCCCACAGGCCCTTTTTTTTATCATTTAATTATGAGATACACACATGTGGAGTCCGGACTGACCTTCCCGTGATACGCTGTAGGTGTCCCAAGAAAAAAGCACAGAGGGAATCTTTCGCTTCACCTGCTCCAGCTGCATGCCCCGATTTACCTCCAGCTTCTCAGGCCTGCAGGGAAGCGCATGGGGATTTATCAAAAAGCAAATCATAACAAATTCCAGAAAAACATAACTACTGTCTGTATATAACACAATGGAATTCCAACTTTCTCTTCTAAGGTATGTGCAGTGTTTAAGTTTAGCACATAAAAATCTTTAGTGGCAAAAAGTGTCTTTAATGATTAACAGAAGAATTACGTAATATCTTGAGATATGCATAATTATATGAGAGACTAAAGGTTTACTTACAGTTTGAAAGGGAGGTAGGGGCGCGAGGAGGATCGTAAACAGATTGGGAATAACTCCTGGCCCTTGTTCACTAGTGGACCACTCCACAGAGTGTAGCAGCTCTTCCCTGCAAAGGCATCAACAGCACAGGTCAGAGGTCAGACATGATACAAAAAACGCAGGGCTCATGAGTTCACATAACTGCTGGTTTGTCACTGAAAAGCCACACGTTTTGACAGATATAATTTGGATAATTAGCCCTGAAAATGTCCTCTTTTGTAACTGACTAGAAGTGAGCATGTCAATTAAAAGTGCTAATGTTAGATCTTAGGTAGTTTTTCACTCCTGGTGTTAAATGTTTCATTACATATTTATAATAAAAAAAAAGTTTTTTACCTTTACTTCCTTCAGGGGAAATAGTGTTAAACCTGTTAAGGAGAGAAACAAAAGCTTGTTTACAAACACAGCACACTATGGAGATGTTACACATCTCTTGCAAACCTCCCCAACCGCCTGAGTTTCACCATTTCCTGCAGGAATACGTACCTGTGTGCAGTCATAGGAGTTGCTGCAGCCTCCTTGCCTTTGTACTGAAAGGAAACCACAGCGTAGGGGCACACGTGCCTAGGTCGTGCCTTGATCTCGTCAAATGCAAACTCGAAAAAATATTGCTGAAAAATGGCAAGAAAGATGCATTAAAACTACTGACTTCTGTCCAAGACCTAAAAGAACATTAAAACATCACTTTAATAACAGAATATGAACAATAAGCGAATGGAAAACAAACCAATGTTTACCTGTGTGAGCTCAAAAGCCCTGTAAGACAGCAGAGACGTAACCCTATTGGCACTTTTAGACAAGTGACAGTCAAACTTGGGTGTAGGTTCTATAGCATTCTTAGGCATGTTCTCATGGATGTGCTTTATTCGACCCTGAGAAAACAAAACATACTGGTGAGCTTTAAGTCCCGCAAGAGTTAGAACTCTGCCAACACCACAAAATGAAAACAGTATGGTAGCCTTACCCTCATAACTTTAAAAATGATCATGTCTCCGGAAGAGCCCACTTCAAAGGGATTGATTTGTAACAAATCAGAATATTTGGAGAGACAGACACCTACAATGACAAAAGAAGCAAATCAAAGGAAAGGAATAATAAACATACTCAATACTCAGTGGGTAGTCAGTTGTGAACCAACATTTAAGCGACATAGTGTTGCATATATCAGAGCTGTTCCCAGCTGATAAGGCATGTATTAGCTGTCTTCAGTTGTAACTTTCAGGTCAAAATGCTAAACAATAACACCCCCTATCTACAACAATACAGTCTCTTTTTAAATCAACAGCAACATGCAAGAGACAAACTTACCCATTGATGGATTTCCTAGTGTCGTAATCCTCGAGTGTCCAACAGACAGACCCTTCTCACAGATCCACTGGAGCTAAACATACAAGACAACATACAAAGTTGAGAATCATGTAAAAAAAAAAAAAAAACAGAAAACAAACAACACGCTTTATAACTTGTCCATCAGCAATACCTTGGATTTGTCCGGATAAAGGAAACAGTACGACTCAGTCAGTTCTTGTTCTGTCCGCCCCTCCTGCTTCATTTCTCTCCGCTTCTCGATGAACTGGCCACACAAAGGGAGGAGACAGCAAATGAGATAGAGCCGTCTGAAACTCACAAACTCTCACATGCATGGCTCTGGCAGAATGTGTGCCCTGGGAAGATTACATACTGAAAACATTTCATTACAACCTGCCCTCGGCATGTGTTCTTTCCTGTCACATGAGCTATGAGAATCTGAACAAGAACTTCTTACTCAAATTGCATTGTTATGTTTCAACCTACAAAAAAAAGAAAAAAAAAAAGGTTCCTTCAATAAAAAAGGGAGCAGCTGAAAAGCTCGTGTTGACAGTGTGGGGTACAGGAAGACAATGACCAACCTCCTTCTCCAGCAGCTCATTGTGTATTAGCCTGGCCTTGCAGTAGGAGAAGGTTCCTCGTGATTTGGAGTCTAGGTAAAACGAGGAGACGATCTTCACGAGGTTCTCAAACTCCCGGCTGTCGGGGGGCAGAAACTGGTACAAGCCTGCACACACAGAAGGGAGTCAGTGGATTAGCATTTGTAGCATCTGTAAGCATAGACCTAAAAGTAGCATGCCACACAAACACTTTTCAAACTACAGCAGAAAGCAGCATAATCAAACTGACTGTCCTTCTCTTCTCTCATTTACAGGGTAATATGACATTAAGGTATCAACTCCAAAACAGGTTTCTTTCGGAGTGTTTAGACTTCAGCTCGATATCCAACTCTGATGTTGTCATATAAAAGCCACTAGGAACGTGAAGCGGTGTAAACCTGGTGCTTGCAGGCAACAACTCTTTGTGCATGATTAGAACAGGTCAGTGGGGTTGCAGTGAATCTAGTCTTGTGGTGAACTTATTCATCATGTGATAAAGCCAGCTCATCACAACAGGCTACTGAAATGTGCTTTGGGAATTACTAGGATGGGAAGAACACTTGTCAACAACAGCACCGAGGAATCCCTTACATCAACAAGTCGTCATACGGGTGACTGTATCTGTCTACATTTACACGAGGTGTATTCTGTCAATCCAGACACACGCAAAGAGGTGAAACAACCACTTTCTGACTCCAGGCAACCTGAGCGGAAGAATCATCAGCCTCGAGTCGTGGGGTAACGAGAAGGAAACGTCCCTTGTGTGAGACAAAAGAATGAAGTCTGGAGACATACCGATGGAGTACACAGTCTGTCCCGCAGTTAAGTTTCTAACTTGGGCAATAAGACACTTTGTACATTACAACCTGCTGAGGGACAACCTACTGCAAGCACAACACACATTGTGGGACTCATAAATGTTCAGGAACTCCAGCTCGACTTTGCATATATACAAATAACTGATGTATCCCTGCAGGGTTTGTAACAACCACTATCCATATGCCACTTTGCTAAGGATACTACGGCCTTTTTTTTTTGGGAAATATGATGGGGAGTATGTGGAGTACTGTACTCTGAGGAGGTGAGGTGCAGATGGGATGCTCCTAAATGCCAGTCACATCAAGCTGGGACAAAAGGGGGGGTGGGCAGCCCTACTTAAGGAGTTCATAATAAGTGTCATAGTACTGTGAACACATTTCAAATAGACGGGTGTGGTGGATAAATCCATGCCCTTCACTGAGGTCAATGAGACACCCACATGTTGTCAGGTGATGGCTGCAACACACTCATGACACCACCACCAGCAGCAGCATTGAATGAGACTATGGTCCCATTAACAGGTGAGGAAACCAAACAAGGTGGGCTTTCAAATGGGCAGTCCTCAAAGTGCAGCTTCCAGGCGCCTTCACGGGAACTGTTCCCGGTAACTGCCTGCTTCTCACTGGATAACTTGGGATACCTGAGTCGGACTACCCGAAGCTATAGCTGCTGTAACAACTCACGGCGCATCAACACTAGACTATCCGTGTGCTGTAATCGCATGACGCACGATTCAACTTTAAAACCTGCGTTGCGGGTTAACATTTAGTTAAACTAGCGACCAAACCAGCCAGCTAGCTAGTTAGTTAGCAGGCTAGCAACATGCAGCAGCAAAATTATGAAAGACAGGACAGGGTCTGTTCAAAATTGCAGCTATATGGCACCACCTTTCCGTTCTTTTATCTTCCTCGGGATTTGAAAATTTCTCCGTGGCAGCTCTTCGCTCGGTCTCTGGCCCGGTGAGGGAGAACTGCTAAAGCTCCGGGCGTCCGTCTGCACGCTCCTCCGCCGCTCAGGGGCTTCTTGTTCGGGCATTACACTGTCTCCACATCCAGGCTGATCGCCATTTTGGTTGGCTGTGGCCGAGGTGGCGGCTGAATTCTTCAGGGGTTCGCCACCCTCCGGCTGGTGATCGTCCGTCTCGGTACATTCTGAGTCCCTTTTCCCCACCGCGTTGGGGTTCAGGGCCATTTTCGGGCACCGTGCACGTAATACGGGCAATGTCGCTCTAACGATTACGGCGCCGCTTCACACACACACTGTCCTCCTCACCCAGCCTCCGCCATTGTGAAAATGACGTACACGTTCTTCTCCACCACTGCAAAACGCTGCCGTCACTATGTTTACATACGAGACTATCCGCGCCACCCAGCGGCGGAGGGGTGTACTGCGGCAATTAATATAGTGATGGGACGTGAGTGAACGTGGAGCCTATTAGGAATATTAATTTGTTTCTCATTACGCTTAATTATTTTGTTTTTTATCTGTTCTTTTAAAAAAAATAAATACATTTTTTGTTGTTAGCGATCATGTATTGTGCTGGGTACTATTTGTTTGTATTTGGCATACTAGTATGTACACTTTTTTATTGAATAAAGCTAAACAAAACAACAAATAATGCTCTCATTTAACAAAACACAACAGGAGTAAGCTGTGGGATGAAGTGAAATATGTGTGAGTATTATGAATCTGACTGGACATATTTACTCTACATTTTAACATTTAGTTTTTGTATCATTATGCAGCACTTTATAACACCTTGTATCACAGCTTTACCCCACATTAGATGGCTGGTAGATGACTACTGATTATTGAAGTGGGTTGATGCCAACCTATAGAACAATACTACTCTTGTAATACATCATTATACCAGCAGGTGATGACAAAGAGGCACATATTCTTCATCTTACAAGAAAGACTAAAGAAATGTGCAATTTTAGATGTTTTTAATAACATTGTAAACATTGTAATTATATACTGTCTGTATGCTTTATTGCATTACATTCTGTATTCACATTATAAAATGTGACAGCTTGAAATAATAATTAGAATATTAATGCAATCCCATGCATGTTTTTCCTTTAGGACCCATTTGCTATAACAGTAAATTTTTACACAAGGCATTAATGTGTCACTGTAACTATTAAAAGAAAGAACTAAAAATTACATACAGTTTTGTACAAATAGTATTGTAAGGCATAAAGTACATTTACTTGGAAAGTGCTTTCCAAAACACACAATATCAAGGCAAAGATATAATGGATAGTGACTGTCTTTGCCCCCTTTGTCACAGTGGTATCTGTGACAACTGTAAATGTGTTTCACTCTGGGTTAAACATGCTGCCCCTGCTGTAAACATCAAACTCCTTGTAGCGTAGGTAATCTTTCAGCCTGGTAGGAAGAGGAAGGAAGTTGATGAAAACTGGGGCTCTCAAGCGCAAGCGACTGAGATGCTCCCTTATCCGCAACCGACACAGGTGCTTCAGGCTCCTTGCATTTCCTGAGTGTAAATAAAGTCAGTTAACATACTGTATAGTCATTAATACACTTTTGCTGACAGGTAAAAAAAATAACTAAAACTGCATCGTGGCAGTTTTTACTTTGAATGTGACAGATCTCCAGCCACTGTTTCTGCTCCTCCAAGGTGTCTTTAAGTTTGGTGCAGAAGGAGACGTGGTCGGTGTAGTCGAGCATGATGCGCACCACCTGAGCAGATAAGTGCTTAAGCCAGGACACTGTTATGACCTCACAGAACTAGAAAGAGACAAAGACACACGGCAGTCAAAGCGAAACCCTGAAAGAAAGTGTTGGCACCCCTGTGGAATTCACTTTTAGATTCTTTACGCAGGAGGCAGTCCTATTCAGGGGTTTCATGGGAGGCTCAGTGAACAGAGGTGAAAAAAGAATTACATTACGTATTACATTCGTTATCAATGCTTAGAGATACTGTAATTTTTGGGAAAGTTTTTCCCACTTAGAGACAGAAACTTATAATTGCCTTTTTTTATGTGTTTGGTGTAGTCTGAAGTTTTGTCAAACATAAATATTAGGCAATCTTTATCAATTGTTAAGAGTCTATGTGATCAAATGAGATAGTCATGATCCCAACCATGGATTAAGTGAAACTAAGCATGCAAACAAACGGGGGTGGAGGGCACATTCTCAGACTTTAAAACCCATTTTTGCTTTACACTATTTTTTTCTCACACAAGCTTTGCCTTACCACCATGTCTTTAATGATTGAGGTCGACCAAGGAGTGTAGTCATGGGAACTGTTGCCGTAGGGACAGTCAAAGCAACGCTTAACATCATATCCATGGTTCAGAATCATTCTCAGCATGACCTCGTCTTTCAAGGCATACTGTAGTGCAGAGGGGAAGTGAGTGCTGTTGATACGGGAGTAGTAGTTGACATTTGCACCAGACTTCAGTAATGTGTTGATTAGCTCATAGTTGCCCTGCCTAAGAGCCACCTGCAAACAGTTAATAGGATCCTGGTTCACCATTGCCCCAGCCTCTAACAGCAAGCGGGTGCACTGAAGATCATTGTTGGACACAGCAAAAAAGAGGGCAGACTTGCGCTCATCATCATAGTTGCGGCGCACCCTTGGGTGCAGCATGAAGTTTGGATCATAGCCAGCTTTAAGCAGCATCTCCACACAATGGGCATGTCCCCCGGCGGCTGCAGAATGGAGAGGACTCATCCCACTTTCCTTTACAGCGTCCAGCTTAGTCACTGGAATGAGGTGCTCCAGGGCCCTGTCAAAGAGGAGTCCTCATTTAAGAACATGACAGCAGATCAAACTGTAAAAGAAAGAAACCTAGATGTTGTAATATAGATATTCCTCACAGTATGTGTCCATGGTAGGCCACACGGTGAATTGGCAGGTGCCCACTGTAAAGAGGTAGGTTGGGATCTGCTCCATGGTCCAGGAGTAAGGAGATTATGTCAGGGTTTCCTGATGCTGCTGCGTCAAACAAGACGGTGCCCGACTCAGATTCACAGCACACATGGGCTCCTACAAAATATATATTCAGTATATATGCAATAGACCATTTCCTGGAAAACAGTATGGAAAGAGTTATCCACAGTTTTGCATACAAATAGATGATTTTTTGTATCTTCTACTGTTGCACCATACATTTCAGATCAACTCACTGAGTGATTGGAGGTTAAATCACCTTATCTCAAATACCTTTCTGTAACAGGACCTCAACCACATTCAGATGTCCATTCAGTGCAGCCAGAGACAGTGGAGTTTTCTTTTTGATGTCACATGCATTCGGGTCGGCACCCGACTCTAGGAGCAGATAGACAAAGTTCTCCAGGCCTAAGAAGGCGGATTCATGTAGAGCTGTCCTGTTTAGTGGTCCTGTTTGGTCTACTTTGGCATTGTAGCGAAGCAATAGTGTGGCCAAGTCGTACTGGTCATTGAGAATAGCTAAAAGAGAGAATAGAAGAATTAAGAATTAAAACAATTAGCAACTGTATTTAGGTGTCTGTAAAATGATCTAAAGCTCTATTTTGTATTCAGATGTCAGATACCTGCCACTAATGGAGAATCCTGCTCATCGTTCTGGAGATCTGGGCTACAACCGTTCTGTAACAGGAATGTGGCATTCTTTCTGAGTCCATGAACCACAGCCAGAAACAGTGCAGTCTCACCCTTCAGGGTACGACACTGGACTGCACCTGGGGGTGATGCTGGAACCCAAACACAAAACTAATCAACATGCCAGAATTGTAAAAGAATCAATTATTAGAGTCATACTGTTAATAATTTGACTACTACCTGAGAAGATAATCTCAAGTATCCTTTTATTCTCTTGGACTGCAGCCTCGTGCAGTGGGATCCACCCTCGGTCATCAACCCTGGACAGAGTCTCTGGTTGCACTATCATTCTGTTCAGTGCATCTTCATCACCTAAATACAAAGACATATTATCAGAATATATCAGAACCTCTGGCAAGATTAATAATAACCTGCATCAGGTTTGACAGGTTAAAGAATTGAATGAATAAAGAATCAGCTTACCCTCCCTGATTGCTTTGAAAATCTCATCAGGGTCTTCACTGGGTTTCAGATCACTATGGAAAGAAATAAAAAAGGATTCAAATGATCAAGAGACGCACGCTGTACAGACAGAGATATAAAATTCTGGGTGGTTGGAGATTAACCTTGGATTCAATCCTTTGAGCTTTCTATATTGAATCAGACTTTGTTCAATCATATATTGCGTTGCCTCGTCTTCATCCAAGTCGTCCTCCGATTGATAAAAATCATCTTCTGTCTTTGTGCTCATCTGTTAGTCCAGAAAGTTTCAGTGCACAAGCTCTGGGAAAACACAGTCTGAAGGTAAACAAGATCATTAATTCTGGTACCTGAGAACTTGTATACCACTTGCAACCCTGAATACCAACATGGAAAAGTGAACTTGAGCATACTACAGTTAAACACAGAGTAGTTGCAGCCAGCATTATTGTTGTTGTTGAATTAGATGTCAAAATGAGTTTAGTGACACTTAAATGTATTCAAGATACTGGATCTAATGATTTTGATTTTGCCCTATAGCTCTTAACTTTACAGGCCATGTGAGAGCTACAGTACAGTATTTTATTTTTACAGTATTATATTGCAGTATGACTGATGGGAGTATTTCTTAGATATGAATCTAGGAAACGTTGTAAAGAAAATGTATGCCACAACAAGACATTTTAACAGCACGAGTGCTATTAAATGATCTGTAAATTCAACAACATAACCTTAAATTTAACAAACCATGAAGTCCAACACGTTGTCTATACTGTAAACTCTGCACTAATCAGTCTAGTTTTTCTCTATACATGCATTATTTATGTATTGTATGGTGTTTACCTTCAGTCAAATGGCTGTGCCTTCGGTGGCGTTAAAAACAGTAGAGCCAGTAGGCTCCTCAGTACCCCTACATGCTGCAGCTATTTATATCTCTCCCACTATAAATATCAGATCACGGGGTCTTTACAGCCAGCACCTAGCTTTGACCTACTGAGCACTGCCATTACAGACACCATTCAGTTCATATGCAAATTCACTCATAACACAGTAATTATTAAACACAGCAGGTTGACTTTTGCAGTAACACTTACTACAACAGTAGACAAATATTAGGTGTTTGGATTTCATTTGATTGCACATGCAACAAACAGTGTTATTACTTTGTTACTTAAATACTGAGATTGCTGTGTACATAAATTTCCATACGGCATATGTAAAGTTCAGTTTATTCCTCTTTTTATTCAGTGATCATTCATGAAAAAGATTTATTTTACCTACATTGTTGCTTTACTGATTTGTTTTATAGGGAACAGCAACGTCTGTATAATAAAGACAAAGCAGCAGATGGTTGCCTACACATTAATAGCTTGTGAGGTATGTAGACAGTCACAGTGAGGTGTTCCTCACAATGAGGAACTAAGACACATTGGAAGGAATGTACAGATTCTTTACAATGATAAGATTCATTCTACAAGCAAGATGATCAAGCTTTTACACCAGCACTAGTTTAACATTAAGGTTATTAGTGTTCCTGGTTCTTATTACCAGCCATCTGTTTTTAATTTTAGAACTTTTTTTTCTTCACATTTGGCTTGTGGCCACATAACTGGTGCAGTATATGACTGTGAATGTTTTTCTAAAGTTACTCTGCTTGATGCCACATAGGGATTTTTATGATGAACTGGTGTAAAAACTCCAAAGGCATAAGTGGAGTATTAAGTTGCTAACTGAGTAAGAGTTGCTGTACACTTGGCAGAATGTATATATAGTATGTACAGTACTTGTGTGCAGGAACGAAATAAGAGGCTGCATGCAATATGTTTCTAAAGTTTCTTAAATATAATAAAACCAATGTATCGCACTCTACTTTACTTTCGTCCTTTTTTTATTGAGAAATCAGTGACTCTGATGCACACTTTGTTACTTCCATGTGAATTTAAGCATCTTATATTATTTTTGGAGTAAATTATGTCAGACAATTGTCTAGCTTTGTATTTTGCAATAGCGACTGGATTACAAGGGCATTTGAACTGAAAAGGCTATCATGCATCATTCCATGAACCTCTCCATAGCTATCCACAAATATGCTCTATCCATAATTTTGAAACACACACTCCCTAGTTGGTCACAAACATATGTTATGTTTAATTTTGCATTGTGTAGGAACAGAGAATCAGAAAAGGTGCTTAAGTGTTTAATGTGTCCCAGTAAGGTGTTTGAGTCTTTAACAGTTTTCTGACTTCAGTCATCAAGCTGGCAGAGCATGGCCACACCACGCTTGATCCAGTATTGGGGGCGCCTGCTTGTAGGCAACATCATGGAAATGACAAAATTGGTGGAGTGGCCTGTGGTAGAGAGGGTGCCTTTCCTCTCAGTGGTCTTGTAGAGAGGGCAGACAAACAGCTGCTGAGGCTGATCAGTATTCTTCCTTGAATCACCTGAATGGGAAAAAAGGAAGCAAAGAAACGAGGAAAATCAGAAGCAAAGAGTCAGGAATATGAAAAGGAAATTATAATTATAGAAAAATGCAGCAACATTAACAATAATGGGGTTGAAATAGACACAACATGCATTTTATTTGTCATACATTTGTCAGTGTACAAAGTATGGTAATACTTACTGGGTTTTATCCAGATAATGGGCATGAAGTCAAATAGGACTTTGGGGTACTGCTCTGCAAGAACTCCACTTATGAGGGACAGACAATAGTTAAGGTTTATCAATGCTCTTTGCATGTCAGTATTATAATGGTATATAATTACTGAGCACTTACCTTCCTTTGTCCCATCGAGCTCCATCCAGAAACAATCCATTAACGTAAACACCATCCTCAGGCGATGCGCCTGACTCATATATAGGAAGAACCTGTAACATAAAACCATGAAAACAAAACTACAGGTCAGTATACCCTTAGGGCTACAAGAAGATCTTTGAGGTGGAGAAGGAAAGTGAAAGCCTTTTGACCTCAAAATCAAAGCCAAGCATGTCAATGGGGACATGGTATTTCCTGGCGTAGTTCTGCATAGCCCCAGTTAGGAAGGCCTGGGTGAAGAAGAATCCAGACAGCCAGAACACGTTGGGTTTACTGGTGTCATACCAATTCTACAGACACACAAAAGTAAAAGTAAAACTTTGAGTGGAATGACAAACTCAACAAAACTCCCATATGATTACAGTCCTTTCTCCTGTTCGTCTAAATTATCTTTATTAAGCAGTCTCACCTGTAAAAACTTGAGCCTTGAGAGAAAGTCAGTAATGTAGCTGCCCAAAGTCTTGAGACTAGGGTAAGAACGCTTGGCCCATTTCTCTGGGACCTTGCCCACAATCAAACTGCCTGCAACTGCCTCCAGCTCTGCATCCATCACTACCAAACCCTTTATGGCCTTCAACAGGTTCTGTAGACTGACACGGATTGTACTACACAGCCTGAGAGAGAGCAAAAACAGTAGTTCAGTCATATGAAATAGGTGATGATGTGCTGTATGTTTTAAAATTCTGGACTCAGCCGTTTGTCCGTACGTGTTGTAGCGCTCCATCTCTTGGACGAGAACAGTGTTCATGCTCTCCTCGTAGAGCACTGGAAACTTCAGGAGAGCTGTTTCTGTGTCAAAATTAGCTGGAAGCTGGGGGAAATAAGCAAGTCAGCTAATTAAAAAATATACAAGGCAGCGCATGCAAATTATAAACATGGTTAAGTGAACACAAATTAAAACTGGCACTTTAGTGGAAAGCTACACCTGCACTGGTGCCATGTGTATTTCCTTCCAATATTAAACCCAATCTTTGAAAAATGTGTTTAGTGCCTCACCTAAGAGACACAATAACACTCTCTAGATATCTGTAATCTAAGACTCTGCAAATGTTAAGGGATCACCAAAGGTATTACAAGTCATACTGAGGGGAACACGGTTCAGCAAAGTACAAATGTCTGGAGAAAATTTTGTGCCAATCTATCAAGGAGATGTTGAGATATTCCACATGACAGGTGAAAGCATAAACCTGCTGGTGAGGAAATTCAAAGGATTGCCTTAATCCCTATGAATCATTCTCTGGGGACCATGAATGTCTGTACAAAGTTTCATGGCAATCCATCCAATAGTTTGTGAGATATTTCAGTGTAGACCAAAGTGGTAAACTTACCGCCACCCCTAGAGCCTCGACACTAGCATGGCTAAAAATAGCTAAATGGAGAGGAAGTTTATTAATTTTATACCTTAGTGAGGATGTCATTCGCTATGTCATACAGTGCGTTGTCACTTCCAGAGCTTGCCCCTCCCTTAGCTCCTCCACCCTGGGTGAGTAGCAGCGAATCGAACAGTAGCTTTGTCTGCTGGAGATCTTTGGAAATGTCAACATTTTCATGCATCCCAAACACCTCTGGATGCTGGCTAAATGGAAGCTCCTAGAACATAACAAATGTATTGTTATTCAGTTCAAAGTCATTACATATATACATAAAAATAAACATTTATGCTCTTTATGTGTGTTATCTCAAGTGGCTTTACCTTGATAAATACAATGTAGTCCTCATAGTTAGATTTAGGTGGGGCATAGTATTCGCCGCTAGGTGAGAAAGGGTAGCGGGGTTTCTCAATGATGTCCTTGTTGTAGAAGTCAGCCAAGATGGTCATCAGGAGTCGCCTATCCCAGTCGTCTGTCACACGGCCACCATAGTTGCACTCCCCGGTCAGGTAAGTTATGGCCTCGAAGGGCACTTCATCATATTCATTCACAAACAGCTAAAGAGGAAAATAAATGTAATCCGTTTTAGAGTCTTGTGATGTACAAACTTAGCCACTGAAACTCTGAATGAATACCTGTAGCTGTCTGATGCTGATACGAAGGTCGGACTCATTGAAGCCATAGGGAATATTCCAACCAAGTGGACCAAACTTCTTCCTCTCCTGAACAAGAGCATGAAAGAAGCACAGTCCATACAGGAGCTTCTCCCAAATCTAGTGGAAGTAGAAAAAGAATGTCCTTCATGTGATTGACCTTTTACATAAATAAATGGAAATTCCTGCCACATACTAAATGTGAGTTAGCTTCCCTAACTCACCAGCTCTTTATCGGGACAGTTATTGAAGAAGTCTAAGTCAGAAACAGGATCTGACAAATAAGACTGTAACAGGTTGAGTCGGAGTCCTGTTGGAGGCTCGTTTGTCATTTTCACCCCGTTCTGCAGGATGGTCACTGGAAACTGATATCAGAAAGCATGTTTTTTTCTTTAGGACTATGATCAGAAAAAAAAGTATCTTGCTGCTTCATTAACTTTTACACATGAAATGAAACCGAATGAAATGCAATGAGCTCTACCTTGGCTGAAGGGTAGCTTGTGAGCCAGAGGCGGAAGTCTGGGTGGCATGTTGCTGGACTGAAGTCCTCACAGGTTTTCTCTAGGGTGGACATCCAGGAAACGGCCAGGTGACAGTTCTGCAAACACACCCATGTCCCATCCTGCATGGCTGTGGATATCATTTTAGCAGCGATGGGTCCCTGGCCCTGCCCCAGAGAGATGGACTGGAACTTGGCGCCATCCATTTCCTTGTCACTGGCAAACTTGAGTAAGCCTGCGGAGGGATGTTGTTATTATTAATGATTTTGAGGAGTAGCATTATTTAAAACCTTGACAGCCAGTCATTGGTACTGCAGGGACTTACTAGCCATTGGATCAGCTCCTGGAGACAGCACAAACACGAGTGGGATGGTGGAGTTGGAGTCCAGGTAGCTCTTACTTAGGTCAAAGGGAGGGGGCTGGACAAATTTCTTCCCCAGTTTGCCAGTGACATATTTAGTCACAGCTGGTACTATCTTATCTGGCCTGAGACAGCGAACAATGATCATCTGCTGCAGCTCATTGAGTCGTTCACACCATGGAGTGGGCAGAGGAATGTTGCACGGCTCTTTGCTGTCATAAATCGGCTTGAAGTCTCCT